GAAGTACTTTTTCCTCTTGCCACACGCTTGCTATACAATTTAAATACAATTACACTCGACACGATTCATAACAAATGAATCAGTTCGTCGATCAACAAACCATCCGCGAAAACAAACAAACTTTGAAAAGCATATCAGTTCGGTGTAATAAGCATTTCAATGGGATTCTCAATTTATGCCGGATTCATGTAACATTATATGTCGTACAGATATCCATATATATAAATATATTATATATATATATATATATTATATATATATAAGCTACTATTTGTGCCATTTTAATGAGGAATCATGGGCAACGGCTAGGCTAATAGGCGAACAACACCGATTCGAAGCACCTTGTTCTGCGCAAGGCCGCAGAAGGCATTGCCTGCGGCACTGTCCCTGTAGCTCCCAATCAACGCTTCGTGTTTTCAGAAACCAAACGCAGCTGGCTGGTCGATGTGATCCTTATACCGCTCCAGAGCACCCCAGCCGGCCTCCACCAGCAGTAACTTTTTACATCAGGGTCCATCCGCAACGTTACCACACGAAGAAACCATATTTATTTGGCTACTCATTGTGCCATTGTGCGATGGAACTAATACTGGCAAAATCGATGACGCTGCGGCTTCGCGACACTCCTGTGGCTTATCTGAGTAATTCTGTACTTTAAGCGTATTATTCTTACAAGCGTGTGCGGTTGTACCATTGTTAAAATTCTAATTGCCGCACAATAAACATTTTTTGGATTTAATTTTAATTAAATATATCAAGAGTTGGCTAATTCTCTATGTTTGTTACTAATGACTGCGCCCCGCGACATTTAGCGCGCATATCGGTAAGTATAGGGCTGACACTGAGACCGATAGGTTGTTTTTGCTTTAATTCATCTTGTTCAGCCCGCATCAGAGTTGTGAAATAAAGGATCCCCTCAAGTCCTAGAATCAGTTACTCTCGCGGCTTAAGTGAATGCACATCGTGGATGTCAGCAGGCACCGTGACGTCACTGTCCATTCAAAGGTTTACCTGAAGTTTTATGAGCTTGAAGAAATTCAATTCCAAAATGATCTTAATATATAATGACCTATACATATCACCTGCAAGGAGTGGAATAATAAATAGAATCCTAATTATAGAAATTATCAAGAGTACCATAAAAGAGAATAGGTCCATAATAGCAGACGATAATACCTAGGTGTACAGGACAGGAAACACGGGAAAATAGTGCTATTTTTCACGACTAACATTATTCTTAGCTTTGGGCCTCGCGAGTCTATGAAAATAATTTCATGTATGCATTAAGCAGGAATTCTTTGCTCTCAAAAACAGGGACCAACGCGGCTTGTCATACGTATAAGCTCCACTAGGCCGGAGAACTATCGCTCCAAACGCTCGCCCTCCCACATCCAAACCGCCAGCATCGAATCCAACTTCTGCCACATCCTACACGCGGCCTAAAGCGTTGCTGTCGGTGAAAGTTTCGTTTTCCCGCGGATAATTATGAATGGACGGCGGCTTCGGTATCATAGGTGACATTCGGCGGCATCGCCTATGGCCCGTTATCTCCATTAATTTCCCTAGCACGCGCTACACCGCCCGTCATGATGGAGCCGGCTCCATCAAGTTTTACACGCAGCTCAGTTACTAAGTTAGTAACATACCGTAAATGCGGTGGTGGGCATATGACATCAATTATCAGCGGCTCCAAGTGGTGACGGAAACCGATAGCCAAAATGCTTATCAGGCGTGTAGGATGGTGGCAGAAGTGGATTCGAGTGGCGTGATTGCATGTGGGAGGGAGGTTTTAGGAGCCGATATCTCCGCCTAGGAAATCGTAATTGACAAGCGTTGGTCTTGTTTTAGAGAGCAAAGCATTCTGCTTATGGCAATACATGAAATTATCTAGACTCGCAAGGCAAGTAGAATAATTAGTCGTGAATAGCACCGTATTTTCCCGTTTTATTCCGTTGTACACTCAGTATATCCGCTCTGATAATAGGTATATATCTAAGAGCTTGAGGATTTAGCGAGGATTTGAGTTCTTCTTTCATAACGAATGGCAGTTTTTATGTTGATGGTAATGATAACACAGCTAGTGCGCCCGGTCTATAATATAATATATTTAGCTTCACTGCGATATATAATCGTAGACATCGTCGGGATCGTCTACGCTGGTATGTGAGCTCTGAACCGCTTCTCATCGACAGCCCCTGCTGCCAAAAACCCCAGCAAAAAACAACGAGAGAGCAGCACCTTGTGCCAGCACACGCCATAATCGTTCCTTAATAAGACAGCGACTATGTTCCTCCTGACAGGATGCAGGGCGACAACCGAACCGATATCCCTGGAGAGTGGTTAGTGCCGAGTGCTTGCTTTACATGTGTAAATGCGGGCCTGGGACGGCGGCTGGCTAAAAAAGACTCCGGTGTACGGTTTCCTCCCGCGGCGTAAGGAAGAGGGGGGCGCTGGATACTGCAAGCAACTTCCGCATCGCATGATGGTCTTGAAGCAGATGTATTGTCAGCGAGGGGCAAAAAAAACAGGCTCTCTTGTCCGTGCATGGCAAGGGAATAACATGTACAGACATTACCCCGGCTCTAACTGTCTTATTTCGTCAAAAGTGTAGAATCCTACCTATGTCCGCGCGCAT